TGTGTCACTCCACTTCTGACAGTGCAGCTGATGGTGACATTTGATGAGAGTACACTGCCTTCACTATACAGTGGACCCCTGAAATTCATGAATGGCAAAACCATTTTCCCCATAAGAAATAACGGAAATCCAATTAATCCGTTCCAGACACCCAAAAATATTAAAAAATATATTTTTTTTTTCAAATTAAATAAAGGTTTACATACAGAAAACAATGAGAAATCAAGTACATACATATATAAAATAATAATAACATTACACTTACCTTTATTGAAGACTTCTGGGTGGATGGAAGGTGGGAGGATGGTAGAGGAAGAAGGTACACTATTGTTTGGAAGGGGAATCCCCTTCCATAAAGACTTCAGGTACCAAGCCCTTTTCTGGAGTTACTTCCCTTCTTTGCTTTTTAATGGCACTGGGACCAGCTTGAGAGTCACTGGACCCCTGTTGCACTAAATATGTGTCCATAGAGCTCTGTTTCTTGTGTGTCTTTAAGATTTCCCTAAAATGGGACACAACATTGCCATTGTGCATATTGCCAACATGACCTGCAACAGCTTTGTCAGGGTGAAGTTCATCCATGAATGTTTGCACTTCAGTCCACTTTGCACAAATGTCGTTAATCTTTGAAGAAGGCACCTTCCTCCATTTCTCTTTCTCCTCCTCTGAAGCAGTTTCCTGAGCTGTGGTCTGTTGCTGTTGCAGATGAAGCTCTTGCAGCTCTGTAGTGGTTAGCTCTTCATCGTGGTCCTCCACCAACTCTTCCACATCCTTGAAACACATCCAACCCCTTGGAATTCCCCAGTGCCACAATACTTTCCACAACTGGCATAGGCTCCTCAGGGTCACCCCCAAACCCTTCAAAATCCCTCTCTTGTACACATTGTGGCCACAATTTTCTCCAAGTAGAGTTCAAAGTCCTGCAAGTCGCTCCCTCCTAAGCCTTACCTATAAAGTTTATGCAATGGAGGATATTGAAGTGATCTTTCCAGAACTCTCTTAGGGTCAGTTGAATGTCTGAGATCACTTCAAAGCTCTTTTGAAGCACTGCTTTGGTGTACAGTTTTTTTCAAGTTTGAAATGACCTGCTGGTCCATGGGCTGGAGGAGAGGAGTGGTATTAGGGGGCAAGAACTTCACTGTGATGAAACAAAACTCCTGCACCATTTGCTCTTCCAAGTCTGGAGGATGAGCAGGAGCATTGTCCATTACTAGGAGGCACTTGAGTTCCAATTTATTTTCCAGGAGGTATTTCTTCACACTAGTGCCAGAGTTCCAATTTATTTTCCAGGATGTATTTCTTCACACTAGTGCCAGAGTTCCAATTTATTTTCCAGGAGGTATTTCTTCACACTAGTGCCAAACACTTAATTAACCCTTTCAGGGTCCCCAGGCCCTCTCTGAGACTTGTTCTCAGGGTCCCCAAGTTTTAAAAAAAAATTATTTTTTCTTACGTAAAGATAGAGAATCTTTTCCTGATCATCATGACACCAAAAGTATGAAATTTGATGGAAAGCTTGCAGAATTATGCTCTCGCGAAGTTAGCGATCTCGACGATGTTTACACATCGGCGATTTTGCCCACTTTGAGACCTATTTTCGGCCAATTCCAGTGTAATAGTCGACAAAAATCATAACTATTTCACTAGAACTCCATTTTTTCTGTCGAATGAGTACAAGAAACCACCCATTTACCGATTTCAACTATCCAATACAGTGGTCAGAATTTAGCGATTTTGCCAATTTCACACAAATTTCAAAAGATGCCAATTTCTGAATAGGGTCCAGAATAAACAAGAAAGACATTCCTGGCACTAAAATAACATTTCTTCTGTTCATTAGTCACGTCCCCGTGCCCCTCTTACATTCTTTTGCTCTCCACTTTGAATTTTTATTCTCACAAAAAAAATAGAAGATTTACTGTTATGCAGACTACTGCATTGGTGTAGAAATGGTATAAATATTGTGAAAGAATGTTAGGCTCACCAGTTGACGTGTATTGGGTGCATAGTTTTCTTTGTAAAACCAGTCAAAATCATCTCAATTTCTCTAATATGTCTTCCATTCTATAAAATGAGACCAGGAAAACTAGAATACAACAATAAATACCATACGAAAATACAGTGCAAAGTCGCTGTTTTAATCCAAAAACATGGTCAAAGTTTTTTTTTTCTCATTACGCACTGTGTGCTGCAGGATTTTTTTTATACCACGCACACTGACCACATAGACCCATTCTTTCATATGTACGCCTACCAGCTTTCTCTCGCTAGATTTGAGGGTGCTAGAATTTAGGCGTACTAGTACGTCAAAAACCCTGGTGCGTAAGCCATACTAGTACAGCCGAAACCCTGAAATGGTTAAATCTCTCAAACCAGCCTTTGCTGGCCTTAAAATCACAAACATCTGCACTTGTTGCAGGCATTTTCTTTACGAGATCGTCATGCAGCTGCCTTGCCTTTTCACACATTATCGACTACATAACACTATCTCCTGCTAACTGTTTTTGGATAATCCACAGCAACAATAACCTCTCCACTTCTTTGAGGATTTGCGATCTCTTTTTTTGTCAGCATATCTTCCCCTTTTGCAACAACAGTTTCTTCAATTTCATTTCCCATCGCCACGAACGAAGTGATGGTTGAATGGTGTTTCTCATATATCCTGGCAAGTTCTGAAACACACTCCACTTTCATATTTTTCAATGATTTCTTTCTTGAATTCGATTGTGTTTCTCACTTTCTTTACCAGAAGGCTGGCACTAGCTTTCTTTGGACCCATAGTGACTTATTTAGCAGTTGCATGCACAAAAATAATGGATTATTATGAAATATATCGTATAAACCTGTAGAGTGATGGTCACTTGATGATAAACAATGGCACAATGAGTGTGAATGGTGCGGGAGACTGGCTTTGTGTGTGCACTGACGGTGGGATGCTGGTCGGACGTGTACCAGACATTCGCCGAATCACGAGGCCAATCATGAACCGCGAGGCTATATTTTGCCGAAAAAAGTTGCCGAAAGTGGGGTTTCACGAAAGTCGCGGCTGCCGAAAGGGGTGGGGGGTTCACTGTATTTGTTTCCATTGTTACAAACAAACATGTCTGTCTGTCTCTTTCAGTCTGCTTGTCTCTCTTGTCTCAGAGAGTTGCTCATGATCCAACTGGTATTACACACAATCATGTCTGCTTCCTGAACAAGTGAAAATGTGTATTACTTGACAGCTGCCAGTCATGTTTATTATGCATTATATCGACAAGCATAGTATAGCACTTTGTCTGGATTTTATGGGCTATCCTTCGTAATTTACACTATAATTGTATTTATGTATGTGTTTCTGTGAGACAGAAAAAGAGATAGACAGAAGATAGATACAGACAAACGGAGATAAAATCAGCCATTCAGCCAGCCGTCGGCCAGCCAGCCTGCTGAACATGTATTACATGTTCCAGATTTGTTTCATTTTACTTAGGGCATAAGTTATAGGACATTCTGGCAGGATGACACTATCAGTGGTACCAAAATTGAAAGGGTGTTGCACAAATGTTGCACGGGATATTGTTGAGGTTTTTGAAATTTCCGTGACCACTTGTGGCCACTTCCACCTCAGAGCCACTAAACTCGGGGTCAACATCACTTTCCTCTTAAAAGGGGAGTGTTAGTACAACATGACATCAGTAAATCCTTGGTGTTTGCCGCGCTGTTTGCTCTAGCTGGCGCTTGATTAAACTGGTGCTCCCACAAGGTACTAAGTGGTCCCAGATTTTTCTAATACTGCACACAGTGAGGGTTAAGACTCGTTCTGAGCTGACCAGGCATCTCGGGCCAATCGTGCCAAATTTGGAGGCAGGAAAAATAAAACGTAGATCTACGTTTGGAGCGCTAGCGGTAAGAATGTAGATCTACGTTTGGACAGTTAAGGGATTAACACAAAAACAAAATATCTGAAATGGTAGGGAATCATTTTCTGAAGGTAGTGACACCAAAAGTATGAAATTTGGTGGAAAACTTATGGAATTGCCCAAATACAAAGTTAGCAGTCTGGGCACAATTTACGCATCGGCGATTTTGCTGACTTTGAGTACTATTGTAAGTCATTTCTTTTAATCCAGTCAACCATTTTGCTAGTGTGCCTTCTGTTATATTGATTGAGCTCAAGAAACTGCCCAGTTTTACACAAAATTAAAAGAAATACCAATTTAATATTAGTGTACTAAAACATTTCCTCTTCATTAATCACATCCCTATGCCTCTCCTATATCATAGTTGCTTTTTATTTTGAATTCATAATCACACAAAAATAGAGGATTTACTCTACATCCTAGATGATACAGTATAGCTAGGAATGATTGGACATGGTTTACAGTATCCCAGTAATTGAATCAGCCCTATTAAAAACCCATAAAACAGACTGTGAAGTGTGGGGGGGGGGGCTTTATCCATCCTTAGGAAAATTGGAAAAAATAAAACTTTTCCTTTACTTTTAGCCTATTTTTCAAGCTACTTCTGGTCCTGAAATTAACCATCATCTTCCATTCTATCAAATGATACCAAGAAACAGCCAATAGAACCATAAAAAACATCCTAGAAAACAACTCCAATTTGCTATTTTAAACCAGATGTATGGTCAGTCTTGCTTTCCCCATTATGCATTGCATGGGGCACGATTTTTTTTTTTGTGCTAAGTATCCATATTGCACAGACCCACTTTCTTATATCTAGGCCAAAATTTACTACTCACAGCTTATCTGAGTGAGCTGAGCTTATGACACAACAATGCGAGGGACCTTGGCCTCAGTGATGTAGTTTTACGAGACAGCCACTGAAAGGTTAAATGAGATATGGCTGTTTAGTCATGGTCTTAGGTTTTATTCATTACATGACATATTGTCAAGAATCCAATATTTGTACTTGATTAAGCACCATTTTTTTTTTTATCATATAAATGTGAGTTCTTCGTTCAAAGAATTTTTGATTGTGTTGATTAACAAATAACACAGTTCTTACAGGTTATGGTGGAAGCAAAGTGGAAATGCATACAAGCATACATCACACACTCCCTTCATACTCAACTGGTCTGCCCACTGCACCCCAACCCCAGGTGAGGAAACCTTTATCTTCTCAGTTTTAAGATCATTATTATTATTGTTGAAATAGTTATTAAGTGCTGCCATAATGTAATCATTTATTCAAAGAAAGATTGTGTAAAGATGTGCTGAGGCTATACAGGCCAAAGAATGATGTAAGCTGCAATAATAGTGTAGCACTGAATAATATCAGTTGTGCCCATATTTGTTGTTCATGGAGGAAAAGTTTGTTTTATTAGTGCTATTTATACATATATTTAACACTAATAAGACATTTAAATAACCCTTCGTTGCCATTTACATACACTCCAATAATTATGAAAACTTTCTAGTTTATAAAGTACTTCACAGTAGAAAAGAATAAGTAACAAATTCATACAATGGAAAAAAAAATGCAGGTATGGGAAGATCAGAGTTATGGAGCTTAAGTTAGCATACTTTATTTTGTTTTTATGCAGAAAACAATACCTACACATTCCCAGAGACAACATATTAGGGAAACAATTCTTTAACTAGGACTTTGACCTGAGTGGTGGTTTATTTTTCTTGCTACTGCTGCTCTTCAACTCCTTGTGTATACAGTATCTTACATGTTTATGTTATGTCTTCTGCATATGTAAGTTAGGCTCAGACCCATTTAGCAAAACATGGTAACTTAAGCTTCATAGCTCTGGTGTTCCCATACCTGCACATTTCTCTGGTGTGTGAATTTGGTGCTTATTCTTTTGTGTTGTGCGGTGTTTTGTATGATAATGTTTTGTAATTATTCGAGCTTATGTTTGAGTATAAATAGTTATGAAGGATTATTTAATTTTGTTAGCTTAATTGTATAAATGTGCATTTATAAATTAATTTACTTAAAGGAAAGTTTTTATATAATGTGTTCATAAATATGCTTGTAGAGTTCAGCACTGGTAAGCCAGTAGTCACTGTTGCCATGTCCCACCATAGAGCCAGCACCTACCCTACCTTCACCAGTGTTCTTAACCCTTAAACTGTCCAAACGCAGATCTACGTTTTTACCACTAGCGCTCTGAACGTAGATCTACATTTATTTTTTTATTTTTTTGCATTTTTTTTATTGGGAAAATCAAGGTCGGATTGCTACCGGTGCAAACATAGATCTACGCTTGGACAGTAAAAGGGTTAAATACCATAGTGTTAGCCTGCCCATTCAATTAAGCAAGCACAAATGACTGGGCCACTTTATAACAACAACTCTTGTCAGGTGATTTTTCAATACTACCACAACAGCATAAGAACCTTTGTTTTGTATTGCATTTTTCTTGCATTACTCTTGCATCAATATTCTTTTCCTAAATTTATTCCTTAACCCTCTTTCCACAGTATCAACTATATTACTGTGTTTTCTTTAGATGATTCTGACGATGATTTTTTCTGCATCCTTGTCCCAGTACTAGCTTCACTGGCTAGAAAATGGCCCAGTTTCCTTTTGAAAGATGTTTAGGGTCAGTTGATTTTCCTTGGAACAGTATTTGATGGGAGGAATTTTGTACTTTCTTATGTAGAGCACTAAATTTCATATAAAAATGTTTTGTCTTACAGTTTCGTGTTGAAACTTTTCATAGCCCCTTTCACTTTCATAGCCCCTGAAATTAAAAGAGCTGACAGTGTCACAATTAAAAAAAAAAAATATCTTCTGAAATGGTAGAAAATCTTTATGAACTAATGACTCCAGAAATGCAGAATTGATGGAAAGCTTACAGAATTACACAGGTGCAAAGTTGGTGGTTTGCGTGCAGTTTAACCCTTACACTGTCCTAACATAGATCTACGTTCATTCGCGTAGCGCTCCAAACGTAGATCTACATTTTATTTTAAATTTAAAGCGTGTAAAATAAAACGTAGATCTACTTTCGGAGCGCTACGCGAGTGAATGTAGATCTACGTTTGGACAGTTTAAGTGTTACACATTGACATTTTCATCCACCTGGGTCATATTTTAAGCCAATGCTTAGTTTAACCTAATTATTAGCTATTTCGTTAGTGTGCTTTCTGTCCTGTCAATATCAGTTGACCACAAGAAACTTTCCACTCAAGTAGCAGACTTACTCTGTAATGTGAGCAGAATTTGGCCAATTTTTACACAAAATTAAAAAAAATCAAATTGAAAACAGTCCTAATTAAACACTTCATATTTCAGCAACTAAAGCAATCTTTCCTTTTCACTACTCATGTTCCCCAGGCTTCTTCTAAATAACACTTACCTTCCATTTTGAATCCATCATCATAAAATATACTAAAGTTTTATCTTATTCCTCAGATTAATAAAATACAGTATAGCCGAAAAAGATTGATCATGGTTTTGGCTATCTTAGTAATTGAAGCAGATCTAGTAAAAACCCATAAAACAGACTGGGGAGGGAGGGGGTTCAGTTGCTAGGGGAGCTTTAACCTTCCTCAGGAAAATCGGCAAAAATCTAATACAGTGGTACCTAGAGTTTTGAACAGCTCCCAACTCGAACAGTTATGTAAGTGTATTTTTTGGGGCTCTGAAACAGACTAATCTAATTTACATTATTCCTTATGGGAACAAATTCATTTGGTGTCGACACTCGAACATCCTTCTGGAATGAATTAAATTCGAAACTCGAGGTACCACTATTTCTGCCACTTAAAGTCCTGTTTCGAACTACTTGTGACCTGAAATTTTCTAAAATCATTTTTATTTCGGTAGTATGTCCTCCAGTCTGTCAATACCAAGAACAGTCAATGAGATCTTGTCAGAGTCACTATTTTAAACCAAATGCAAGGTCATAAGGTTGCTTTTCCCATCGTGCACTGTCTGGGGCATTTTTTTTTTATGTATAGTGTATATATTTTGCGCACTCACCTTTCTTTCATTACTAAGCCAAAACCCACTTGCAGCATATTTTAGGGATCTATTCTTAACCCTTTCATTGTTAGGACCTCAAATTTAGGTGTGTTGACAGTTACAATATAAAAAAAATTGAAATTATTATTTTTTTAAGGTAATGATACTAAAAATATGAAATTTGATGGAAAGACTTTTGGAATTATACTTGTTCAAAGTTAGTGGTCAGAGTGCAGTTTACATGTTAGCGGTTTTGCCCACTTTGATTCCCATTTTAAGTCAATTTCATTGCTCGGTTTGACCAAATTCTTAGCTAGTTTGCTAGTGTGTCTTCCATTTAATTGATTGAGCACAAGAAACCACCCACTCAACTATCAGAACTACCCTATATAATGCTGAGAAGTCATCCAAATTTAACAATACACTATTGTCTGTGATGTAGATCTGCGTGATAAACAGTGAAGGGGTTACATGTATTTATTCTCCTGTTGCTACAATACAGCGGAACCTCGGTTTTCGTTTTTAATTCGTTCCAGAAAGTCTGACGAAAACCGAATTCAACGAAAACTGAAGCAATTTTTTTTTTTTTTTTATTATCACACCGGCCGATTCCCACCAAGGCAGGGTGGCCCGAAAAAGAAAAACTTTCACCATCATTCACTCCATCACTGTCTTGCCAGAAGGGTGCTTTACACTACAGTTTTTAAACTGCAACATTAACACCCCTCCTTCAGAGTGCAGGCACTGTACTTCCCATCTCCAGGACTCAAGTCCGGCCTGCCGGTTTCCCTGAATCCCTTCATAAATGTTACTTTGCTCACACTCCAACAGCACGTCAAGTATTAAAAACCATTTGTCTCCATTCACTCCTATCAAACACGCTCACGCATGCCTGCTGGAAGTCCAAGCCCCTCGCACACAAAACCTCCTTTACCCCCCCTCCAACCCTTCCTAGGCCGACCCCTACCCCGCCTTCCTTCCACTACAGACTGATACACTCTTGTAGTCATTCTGTTTCGCTCCATTCTCTCTACATGTCCGAACCACCTCAACAACCCTTCCTCAGCCCTCTGGACAACAGTTTTGGTAATCCCGCACCTCCTCCTAACTTCCAAACTACGAATTCTCTGCATTATATTCACACCACACATTGCCCTCAGACATGACATCTCCACTGCCTCCAGCCTTCTCCTCGCTGCAACATTCATCACCCACGCTTCACACCCATATAAGAGCGTTGGTAAAACTATACTCTCATACATTCCCCTCTTTGCCTCCAAGGACAAAGTTCTTTGTCTCCACAGACTCCTAAGTGCACCACTCACTCTTTTTCCCTCATCAATTCTATGATTCCCCTCATCTTTCATAGACCCATCCGCTGACACGTCCACTCCCAAATATCTGAATACGTTCACCTCCTCCATACTCTCTCCCTCCAATCTGATATTCAATCTTTCATCACCTAATCTTTTTGTTATCCTCATAACCTTACTCTTTCCTGTATTCACCTTTAATTTTCTTCTTTTGCACACCCTACCAAATTCATCCACCAATCTCTGCAACTTCTCTTCAGAATCTCCCAAGAGCACAGTGTCATCAGCAAAGAGCAGCTGTGAAAACTCCCACTTTGTGTGTGATTCTTTATCTTTTAACTCCACGCCTCTTTGCCAAGACCCTCGCATTTACTTCTCTTACAACCCCATCTATAAATATATTAAACAACCACGGTGACATCACACATCCTTGTCTAAGGCCTACTTTTACTGGGAAAAAATTTCCCTCTTTCCTACATACTCTAACTTGAGCCTCACTATCCTCGTAAAAACTCTTCACTGCTTTCAGTAACCTACCTCCTACACCATACACTTGCAACATCTGCCACATTGCCCCCCTATCCACCCTGTCATACGCCTTTTCCAAATCCATAAATGCCACAAAGACCTCTTTAGCCTTATCTAAATACTGTTCACTTATATGTTTCACTGAAGCAATATTTCCCACAAATAACGTAAATCCAGTTAATCTGTTCCAAATACCCAAAAGTATTAACAAAAAATACATTTTATAGAGAATAACTCTAGTTTTACATACAGAAAACAATGAGAAATAAATATAAAGAACTAATGAAATGGACAAGTGAACATTTAACATAACTTTTACCTTTATTGAAGACTTGTT